TTCCAAATATAGGAAGAAGCCCACTACCACACAATCGAATCAAAAAAGATAAAAATAAACAAGGGGTTGCCCTATGCTTTAGAATATATACATCGACGATCTCAGTCTCACATCCATTGATGTCATCAAGCGAAGCCAACAAAGTAATCTGCGGCACGCCAAGAAGAAGTTACAACGACCCGAAGTACTTGACTCAGAAAAAACTTGTTAAGGATCTTGAAACATACCAAGAAGCAGTCTTAGTTGGTCTTCTCAATTCATTCTGCTCTTTCACCATCTCAAGGCCAAGAAAGCAATGCAGTGTAGCATTGTCTTCTGCTAAAATCAAGTCAATTCACTTCCCCACAGAGACAATCGAAATTTCAAAACTGGCAGATGAGAAATTTAAACCAATTTACGAAGAAGAGCTCCGAAAGGGTGTTGCGAAGCCAACGGCGTTCAGAAGATATGAAAAGAACAAAAGAATATTTATTCATAATTTGCTCTTTGATATTGCCCTTGAGCTTGGATTCTTCTTCGACTCGAAACTCTCGCGAAAGTCGGCAAAGACATATTCAATTGAAAGAATCGAACGGATTTATTACATGGGAAAGCTTGTATTTTCACTTGACCAGATGGTTGTCAAAGGAAGTATGATCAACAGTTATCTTTACGATTTGGTCAGCTTTGGGATGAGCCAAACAATACCCGTCTTCGATGACGGTGTCCAAGGCCTCCTGAACGAACAGTCAAAACATCAACAACCTGTAACTTTGTAAAAAGAAATTGTCTCTTTAGGTGAATTTAACCTTTTTGTATTTTTTGGTAGCTTTTTTTCAAAATAGTTTTACAAAAAATATGTGCAATATATCGGGCTATATTCCATAATAAGATACCTTTTTCGATTTAAAAAATGGGTGTTTTTTCCTTTTAAAAAACATGCCTTTTTGGAAGCATGGACTAACTTTATTTGGCAAGTTCGTGTTGTCAATAAACTTTTTAATAACTCTTTTTTCTTTATCGAATTTATCGGTAAACTTTTATTGTTTTTGTTCTGTTCCATTGATATTACGATGTAATAATTAAATATCCTTCTTATTGGAGTTATTTTCGGGATGTTTTTTTTCTTCGGCATTTGAGACATTGTATCATTTTTGGAAAAAACAAAGTCAAAAACATGTTCCTCTTTTTCAAAAATTGGAACAGAACTTCAGAACTGAAAATATAATAATATCTTTGGATTCTATTTGTATTTTTGTTATTACCAAGAAAAACTGGTCTAAATTTATTTTGGGTCATTTTACAAATAAATGCGACCTTATTGTTCTAATGATTTAATTTTAAATACACCTGCTTTTTATTATCTTCAAAAAACTTGTTTATAGAAAGCAAGTGAATAACTTTCCATGTTTTTAGGTTTTTTACCCCTTCGAAGTCCATCAACAAAACTTCTTCTTGACATGCAATTTTTGTTCTTTTTCATGTTTCATTTGGAATGAACCATCAGACATACCAATAGCACTACCAGTTGTGAGTAACTTCAATTCAGTATCGTAATAACAGTTCACTTTTTCGTGTTTTCCTTTCTTAATTTTTGTTTTGCCTTTTTGGCTTTTTTGAAGTGAACTTCCAACAGTCTCACTAGTGTTGTTTTTGTTTATTAATATCTACTAATGACTTGCAACTTATTATCGTTGAACAAGAACCAATAAATATATTCCAAATTTATTCCACGAATTGTAAGAGCAATTACAAAAAACTGAATTATTGAATTATATTTGAATATTATTCATTCAAAATCTATTTACTAAATAACTAAAAATGAAAACTGATTTATTCAAAAGAATAAATGCACTTGTGTTCATACTTCGCACCGGGTGCAAGTACTACCGATGGAAACTCTTCGTGGTGTGGTGAGTCTGGGTAGTTTTGCGTCTCGAGACACACTGCTGTTCTGATCTCGAAATTCTCGGGCATGAAGTTATCTGTGTACAACTGTACACCGGGTTGAGTAGTGTATACCTTCAGTACGATACCAGATACATCTCCAACCAACTTCGCCGCAAACCCGCATTCCCCGCACTTCTGTTTCTTGAGGACATAGCAGTGGTCATACCCCGATGCCAACTTGAGTTGTTCATGTTCCTTGTGGATATCTTGTCCTATTTTTTTTTCTTCGTTGAAGTCGAATATCTTGTCCTCTGCGACCTTGACAAACTCACCAGTTGGGACAAATTCGGGTGTTAATGGAAGATACTCATCCGACTGAATTTGGAGTACATGGCCGTCTATATTACCGCTTCCATTCATATTCAAGTACGAGTGGTTGGCCATATTAATCACGGTCTTCTTATCAGTTGTCGCCTCAAACTTCATTTCAAGAGTTTTGCCAGTCAAAGTGTAAGTCACTTTAGCCTCGACTGTCCCAGGAAACCCATTGCTTCCATCTTCATCCGTCAATGCAAGCTGTATTGAATTTTCGCTCTGGGCGACTACCTGGAAGACCTTCTTGTCAAACCCAACACCTCCATGAAGACAATTGATTCCATTATTAATAGGCAATGTGTACGTTATGCCATCTATTTTAAGGTCCCCCTTATATATACGATTGGCGTATCTCCCTATGATAGCTCCGAAGCAATTGTCTGTCGATAAGTACCCATCGAGAGTTTTATACCCAATTTCGACGTCTACTGGCTTACCGTCTTTGCCTTTGACAATGATGTTGACTAAACGACACCCATAGTTGGTCAGTCCAACAGACATTTCCGAATTTTGCAGCACAAAGAAATCGACTTGTCGTCCATTGAGCACTCTTTGAAAATCTTCTCGTTTGCTTAACATTATGTTCTCTTTGATTATTTGAGTTCAACCTCAATCTTATATTGCACCATTATTCGTTTCGTTTATGTTTTTTCTTTTCAGACATTTACATCAAACTAAACAAACTATGAATAATAATTGATATACTAGTAATATAACAATAACATAAAATATGTTTGTTGTGCGTATATTTCGTGTATTTCTGACGTTTTTTTTAAAGCAAAAAGAAGAAGGAAAATAAATGATAAATAAGTAAAAAACACTAAAGTAAATTGTTCCAAACATGATTGTCTCACATTTTGTTTCAAAATAATACTTTTATTATAAAGTACTATATTTATGGTTTTTATGAAAGGAAAAATCCAACAGAAAAAATTGAGACAATTGTGTAAATTTGAATTATAGTAAATCATCTAATACAATATTAAAATAATAATAATTAATGATTTGATTAAAAAATTATAATTATTAGTTTTGTCCTCTATTTACTGTTATTGTTTTTCTGTTTTACTCACATCAAAGTTATTTCATGCGAAACGGCCGATACATTTTAATGTATGATGTGTTCTTTTCAACAATTTACTCAATCTTCCTCTTTTTATCTTTTGTATTTCCAAATAATGGTACATGATCATTACTCAAATTTGTTGTGTCTGATCAAATGTTTTAATTTGATTCAACACAAACAAAAGAAAAACCAAATGAACGAAAAGACCGACCAGCAATTTGAACATTTTTAGTATAAAAAGCTTCACTAAAACTCAAAAAGCATCACTTACATCAAATGGCCTCATTAGAAGGAGTTGAAAAATTACACCAAACGACTTACGGAGTCATGCCTGCACACGTCGGCTTTGCTCCCGGTCGAGTCAATATCATTGGCGAACATACAGACTACAACAAAGGCTTTGTCCTTCCCATCGCCATCAAGCAAGGAACTTACGTTGCTGTTTCGACAAAGCCTTCGTCGACAGTCAAAATCGAAATCATTTCCTCGACAACCAAAGAGAAGGTTCTCTTAGACCGTGCAACTATGGACAAATCTGCGCACAAAGGAAAGTGGTACATGTACGTCTACGGTGTCATTGACTTGTTATTAGGAAAGTCGACTGTTCCAGCACAAGAGTACCAAGTTTCAATAACCGGTGATGTCCCATTGGGCGCTGGGTTGAGCAGTTCTGCTTCAATTGAAGTAGCTACAGGAGTCACCTTCTGTGAAGTCTTGAAAGTCCCGATGGATGGGAAAGCACTTGGGATGTTATGTGTCGAGGTCGAACATGAATACGCTGGTGTCATGTGTGGCATTATGGACCAGTTCGCATCACGCCTTTGCAAGAAGCACACCGCTTTGTTGTTGGATTGCAAGACACAAGAGACAACCAACAAACCAGTCGAGCTTGGTGACTACGTCTTGTTGGTGACCAACTCAAATGCTCCACACAAATTGGAATCTTCACAATACAACGAGAGAGTCGCACAGTGCACTGAAGCAGTCAAAAAGCTCAACGAAATTTACAAGAAGAACGCAGCATCATTGAGAGAGTATTCCGTGGATGAAGTTAAAGTGCTGGAGGGCGTCTCTGGAAATCGCGCGAAACACGTCGTTGGAGAAGACCAAAGAGTCATGGACGCTATTGACGCGATGAGCAAAGGTGACGCCGTCGAACTTGGAAAGTTGATGACCGCATCACATATGTCTTTGAAAGATCTCTACGAAGTTTCTAGTAAGGAGCTGGACTACTTGGTCGAGAATGCCATCAAGATTCAGGGGGTTGCGGGTTCAAGACTCACTGGAGCTGGGTTCGGGGGATGTACTGTCACTTTGATTAAGAAAGAGGCGGTTGAAGAATATGCCAAAATGCTCGAGAACTACAAGAAGGAGTTCAACTTACATCCATTCTACTTCGTGCTCGACTACCCAGAGGATGGAGCTAAAATACTCATCTAGAGTAATTCAAATTCCAATCATTTTTGTTGGTAAATATATAAATATAAAATGGATCTTCGTTAATTTCTTTGATTATTAATTTATAATAAAGTCTGTTTTATTGTTTGTTATTTCAAATTCAATAATTTCAAATCATAGTAAATTAATTTAAAACCATATAAAATTAATTAACGAAAAGCTACTTCCATTGTAATTAACATCAAAAGTAACTCAAGTACTTTTGATGTATAAAAGTATAATAATTTTTTTTAAATAATTTAACTAATAAAACTTATACCATTGATAATGAATAAAAAGACAAAATTCAAACTTTTTCAAATGTAATTAAACAATTTGAATGCATCGTATTAATATGATTTTTACTACAACTAATAATATTATAGTAAAAATATCAAAAAGAAATGGTAACATTACCGATACAAATTGTTTGAACCAAAACAATTAATATGGTTAAACAATAAGCCCGAAAAAGAGGGAAAATTTAAGAGCCCTTTTTAATAAAGAGGGTTCACTGTCAGATCACCAAATTTCTATGCAAGCGTCACAAGAGCAACCCAAAGAAACACAAATTTTACAAGAATCAGAACAACCAAAAGAAGTCATTGGCACCCCAGTCGAGGTCCAAGCTCAAAAGGCGGAGATGTTGTGTTGTGTGTGCGGAGCACTTATTGAAGTGAACCCTTCGTGCATGTGTGCCAATTGTATTCAAACCGCCGTTGACATCACTGAAGGTATTCCAAAGCAGGTCACCATCAGTCAGTGCAAAGGGTGCAAAAAGTTTTTGGCGGGCACCACGTGGTTCTATTGTGAGCCCGAGTCTAAGGAATTGATGACGTACTTAGTGAAGAGAGTGAAAGGGGTGAACAAATTGAAGTTGTTGAATGCGTCGTACATTTGGACCGAAGAGCACTCCAAACGGCTTAAAATCAAATTGACTGTCGAGAAGGAAGTCTTCAAGAATACGCTGATTCAACAAGATTTCACTGTCGAGTTTATTGTGGTCAATGCCTTTTGTGACAACTGTCATAAAGTCGAAGCCAAAAACACGTGGCAGAGTGTCGTCCAACTTCGTCAACACTCCGAACACAAAAAGTCGATTGCCACGTTGGAGACTGCAATTTTGAAGGCAAAGGCGCATCAAAATGCAACTGATGTCAAAGAAATGCCGGATGGTATGGACGTCTTTTTCTCGTCCGTCGACCATGCAAAGAAATTTGTCGAATTTTTACAGACATTAGTCCCATTGAGGTATCAGCAATCCAAGAAGTTGGTCTCACAAGATGAGCACAAAAACACGTATGATTTCAAGGTCTCCTTTTCAGTTGAAGTTGTTCCTATTTCGCGTTTGGATTTGGTCTTCTTACCAAAAGTGGTTGTTGCGATGTTGGGAGGGGTTGGCCCATTAATGGTGTGCACACAAGTTGCTGGGACTATTCATTTGAGAGATGTGATCAAAGGCACGGAGGTGGAATTATATGCCCACCAATTCTTCCAACACCCATTTAAGACGCTGTGCGATTCAAGAAGATTCTCGCATTATTACATTGTCGAGCTCACTCGAGATTTCCAAAACAGAAACAACCCAATCTCTGACGCGCAGATCATTAGAAGTGAGGACTTTGGTGTGACTGAGGATTACATTTATGTCAAAACCGTGTTTGGAGACAAACTGAAAGAAGGCGACAATGCGTATGGATACGATTTGATTAATATAAATCCAAACGATGATGAATTTGAAGATTGGCAAGCAAAGCAAATAGAAAACAAAACAATCCCCGAGGTGATTTTAGTTGAAAGAATTAAGTGATTGTCTTTTTATTATTAATAGTAAAACGATTGATTCAAATTGGTAGGTATTTGAATCAATCAATCAGTAACTGTTGATTACTTCCTTGTGGTTCTATTATTCTTGTATATGCCAGTTATTATTATTGATAACTATTCGTAAAACAAACTCTTGAAAAACTTCGACTTAGTTAATTCTGAACACAATACATGTGATGTTGTCTCCAGACTGTCTCGAATAAGCAATCTCAACAATGATCTTTGCAATTTCAGAACACGCCATGTTCTGGTTCGCAACACATAGCAATGCAACTTCTTGATTCGACATGACATCCCACACACCATCACAAGCTAGCACTAAAAATCTGTCAGTTGGCCCTCTTTTCACTGTGAAATAGTCTGGAACGCATGACACCATACCTTCACAATGGACATCACCAATGGCTCGGGACACGCCAATGTATCCATTCAATTTCCCAGAGTCAGTCACATAATTACCCTCCTTTTTAACACGAAGCCTTTCTTCAGGCATAATCGGTTTGTGGTCGACAGTTAGAGCCTTTCCAACAACCTGTGTATCTTCTTCAATTTGACACATCGATTTTTTGACTATGCTATGTCGCGTTACAGCAGCTCCCTGTGACTGGCCGAGTTTTCTGATCTTTGACACAAGAGACAAGTTCTTTTTGTGGGGTTCTCTGTCCGACTTATCGACGTCGTCATCTTCGTCGTCATCTTCGTCCCAACTCTTCGACGAACTTTTTGAAGAACTTTTGTCCTTGGACTCTTGACTAACTATTTTCGAAAATGACGTATAAACGTCTTTGACATTTTCAACTGGGCTGATCGTTTTTCCTTCTTTCGTCTTAGCAGTTTGGGCCTTTGCCATCTTTTCTCTCATTTCTTTACACTCTAACACTCGATCAACGTTCGAGTCTTGAACGACAACACAACGTGAGTCTCCTATATTCATGATATAATAGACGTCGTCATAGACAACAACAGCGACTGCTGTTGTCCCGTCTGTCAGTTTTTCGGCTGTGAGTTGTTTGTTTGTTTCTTTAATGCACCCCTCCATTATTTGTATGAACTCCGACTCATTGATTACACGACGGTAGAGAACTATCTGTTCTGCAATCTTCTTCCCAAAGTAGTAACTTCCCTTATCTCCACCGTGGCCATCAAAAAGGCCAATGAAGTGGCCTTTTGTTCCAAACGCAGATTTATATGTCAAGTCATTGTCTTGCATACTTGATCTTCTTCCACACGTTCCAAACGTGCCAATATCAATGTTCTCTTGTGTCGGTTCGACTGCATTGACGAGATTTTTCACATTCAACTTCTTCTTACACTCAACTACTGGACTTCCCTTCTCTGAAGAATAGATGGAAAACGTGATATACGCCTCACTCTTCACTTCGGGAAACTTCTTAATTTTGTATCCAGTTGCATAGATGTTCTTCATGCCAGTTAGCAAACATAAGTTCGCAATGTCTTTGTCATCAAAAGAAAGGGAGTTGTGACTGATGTTCAGCTCGTTCAACGAATCAACACCAACAGAGAGTTCCCTTATGTTGTTATAACTTGCATCGATCTGGAATAACTGACTCACAATTTTTCTGTCATCCTTCTTGATCTTTAGCTCTTCCAAGTCGTTGAACGCGACATTCACAAATCGCAATTTCTTTGATTTGAAAAGGCCATTTGGAAGGAATGCAAGTTTATTGAATGGGGCGTAGAACTGTTGGAGGTTCGGCATGTCTTCAAATTCGATTTCTCGCAGCATATTAAACCCACATTCCAGTATTTCAAGATTCTTAGTGTTCACAAAGATCAATGGGTCGATTTTTCGCAACTGACATCCATTGCACGAGAATTGTCTCAACTTCGTCAAAGTGTTCATATTCTGTGGTAATGCCGAGAGTGGGTTGTATGAGACGTTGAGTGTCAAAAGCGCCGTGTTCACCCGTAAAGCAGTCAATTTGTTGTTTCCAACGATTGCACGTGAAATAGAGTACTTCTCGAGTACGTCCAACTCAGACAGCTTATTATAATCCACTTCCAATGAATCTTTCTTGTACCCCTCAGGTAGTGAGAGTGTTGCAATTTGATTGTTTGAAAAATTGAACCCACACGTTGGCGGTAATTTTGGAAATTCAGTGAGTTGACAAGAAGATGCAGTGACATTCCCAAGTCCAGTCATTTGAGACATGTCTGGCAAACAAGTCAAGCCTTTGCAGTCATCAAATTTCAAAATTTTCAACGAAGAAATTGTAGTAATGAGTGGGCTTATACTGCTCAATGGGGGGTTTTCTGAAATCAAAAGTTCCTTCAGACTCACCATCCCCGTGATTTCGTCGCTGACTGACTTAATTATGTTGTTTGCCAAATTTAAATATGTAAGTTTTGGAAGTGAACATAGTGGGGAAAAGTCGTCGATCTTGTTGAAAGACAAATCAAGTTCAACCAGTTCTTTGAGAGTCGAAAGAAATTCAAGTCCACTACATATTTCGTTGTCACTGAAATTGATTGTTGTGAGGTTAGTACAATATGAAACAGCACAAGGAATGATTGTGAAAAAGTTGTGTCTAAAATCGATCTTACAATGAGTATCATTTTTCAATGTTTATCTTTGACACAAATTAAGGTCTATTTGTGTCATTGTTCAAAACAAAAAAAAACAAACGTCTGCTAATTTATTTGAATTTTTAATGTGGTGAATTGTGACCATGTTGTTAGTATGGCAAATAAGTTTCGTGAGTGATTGCAATTGAGTAAAATGTTTTGGAAGTTTTTCGAATTTACATTGAGAGATGTTCAATTCTTTCATTGCTGTGGCGTAACAAAGTGGTGTGACTGAAAAAAGTGGGTTATGCTCGATACTCATAAGTGTGAGTTGTGAAAGTGTTAGTTGTGGAAACGTTTCTATGTTGTTGAATGAAAGGTTTAATTCGACAAGGCTTGAATATTTCAAAATCGCGTTGATATCTTCATGTGATTTACTACGACTTTCTAGCACAGTGAGTTTCTCGCACCCTTCATAGGCGGGCAAGACTGGTAATTTTATAACGGCTACCTTTGCACTTGCCATCTTTCTTTTTTTTTAGTTTTTCTGACTACTTTTTGCTCTTAATTTTTCAGCTACCAAATCTTTTTTTTAATTAATTTTTATTTATTTTTGTTGTTTTCATAAGGATGTTGCTTTTGACAAAAACGGTCATTTCGCCATATATTTTTTTTTCATTAAGACATTTAAGTAAAAGTATAAGAAAACAAACAGAACTCGGCATATAAGCATTCAGTGTTCATATTATTTACACATTTCTAAAACAAAAAATAGTTTTCTGGTATAAATAATATCATAACAAGCAACACTATTGGTTTGGTAAAACATAAGACTTATTTACCAAATATATAGTGGTTCTAATAAAAAATTGTCAAAGTGTCTTACACTAAAGAAATAAAAATTATTCATAATTGAGCTAAAATAAACTTTATATGTTATTTAGTAAAGAAATGGATTTTTTGCCAAGACAAACTACACACCCGACTTTTTGAGCTATTATTGTTTAGTTTTTATTATTTATTTGACGCATTGCTTTTGGTTTTAATATGTAAATTATGCTGGATTTAATTATAAATAATCCTATTTTTGAGTTTGTCTTTGATAAAAAATATATCTTTTGGTTAATGGCAACTTAAAATATTTATTCAAAATAACAATATGTGTTTACATAGTCAACTTATCGATTCAAAAAACAGAAGAATATTAATAACCAATTTAATTATATTGCCTTATAAACAATTAATAAGGCAGATTTTATTTTATGGTATTTTTATTTTTTTTCGAATTAAAAACATCATCTATTTAACTATTATTTACTTCATGATCAATCAACATTCTTTTGACACACAATAAAATAATTGAAATATCTTAAATATGATTTTAAAAATGTTGTTATTATAAAAAGTTTTTTTTTGGTTTTCCTGATAATTTAAAAACAATTATTATCAACATTTTTTGACTTTGAACTTATATAACTAAGTTATTAAACTCAATTTATTAATATATTTAATTTGTTAATAAAAAAAGTTTTGACATTTGTGTGTTTTAATATTCTTAAAGTTAAAATATAGTACAGTATTCGAGTGTCTGAAAATCGGGAAATCTTGACTTTATTAAATATCTTCTGTTTTTTAGAAGTTTATTTTGTGCATATCATTACACATGCTAAAAAGGGAAAAACATCAGAAAATCCT